AAGAGTTATATACAAATTGACTGTCACTCCAACACACAAGATTACTGTCCCCATGTGGTCAAAGATGACTACCCACAAGATGGCCATCAGAGGAGAGCAGTTGTGAGGGACCAGGCCTGCAAGGGAGGGAAGTTGGGGGAGACTTGGCCTGCAGGAAAAGGCAGTTGGGGGGGACCCAGGCATGTAGGGTAGGGCAGTTAGGGGTGACCAGGGCTGTAGGGGAGGGCAGTTAGGGGCAATCAGGTGGACAGGGGAGCAATTATGCATCAATCAGGCTGGTAGGGGAGTGGTTAGGGGGTGACCAGGCTGGCAGGCAGAAGCAGTTAGGGACAATCAGGAAGGCAGGCAGGCGAGCAATTGGGAGCCAGCAATCATGGATTGTGAGAGGGATGTCTGACTGCCTGTTCAGGCCTCATCCCAATAGATCAGGCCTAAATGGGCAGTTGGAAATCCCTCAAAAGGTCCCAGATTGGAGAGGGTGCAGGCTGGGCTGAGGGACACACACCCCCCGTGCAAAAATTGCATTCACCGGCCTCTAGATTTTAATGTTTGGGTATTGATTTATTCTGAAACACGGACACTTTGGTCATTATAATTATGTTTCTCACATCCAGAGAACCCTCGGATATACACTCACGATTCCCCTGGCTGCTCTGACAGGGTGTTCCATACATCCCCTTTGTACATACGCAAAAAGGCTCTTTTCCTGAGACCTGTCACACATTTCCCATTTCTCTGAACTTCTCTCAGCCTGTATAATAAGCCTTTACCTCCTCCACAATTCATGGGCAAAGTTCAACTCACTGAATCCCCCTTCCCACTGAATCACCCTCCCCAGTGATCCCCCCTCCCTCCCACCAGATCCCCCCTTCTGCCTGGATCCCCCTCCCCACTAGACCCCCCTTCCCCCTGGAGCCCCTTCCCCCTAAATCCCCCTCCCACTGATTCCCCCTCCTTCCCACTGAACCCTCCTCCTTCCCACTGAACCCCCCTCCTTCCCGCTGGATCCCCCTCCTTCCCGCTGGATCCCCCTCCTTCCCGCTGGATCCCCCTCCTTCCCGCTGGATCCCCCTCCTTCCCGCTGAATCCCCTTCCTTCCCACTGAATCCCCCTCCTTCCCGCTGATTCCCCCTCCTTCCCACTGAATCCCCTGATCCACTGAATACTCTTTCCCACTGAATCCTCCTCCTCCTCTTGAATGATTTTTTAAAAGCTTCCTATCCTTTCTATCTTTCTTACCTCCTTTGTAGTCATCCAACTTTCTGTCTCTTTTACATTAACATAAATCATGTACTATCTTTTGGGTTAAAAATTCCAACACCTTAAGCCAAATATCAAAGAAACTATCAATATATGAAGTAAACATACAGGTTATCCACACTCTCTAAACAATACATGTTTAAATTCCACATAGAACTTCCCTTTTTATATCTCTAAATGTAAAATGACAGCCACACCTCAAACCAGTGACCGAAGCCCTCCCCATACCGAATTGCAGACAATAAAACTGCCAGCTGGAACCCACAAAAAATCTGAAAAGCCCGTCATTAAATAGGACCTTGTTAAGAAATCCCTGTTTTATGTGCCAGCTATTCATTTTTACTGAATCAACATTTTCCAGGATGCATCCTATTGACTGATCTGACCGCATATGCTGTCCACGGAAAACTTCTCCAAATGATGTCCTATGTGATATGCTTATCTGAAAAGCTCTCCTCTGAGCAACATGGAAATAAACCTCTGCTTCGTAAACTCGAGACTTTTAAAATGCATTAATCCACACAGTTTATGAAATTGCTTTGGACATTTTAAAATCCTTTCTTCAAAAAGAAAACTTTAGCAATCGGTAATAGTATTTGTTGCTGTTTCATAATGGAGTGCATATCCAGCACAGAACTTCCACAGACCAGAAATGGGGCAGCGTAACAGGAAGTAAAAAGCAGTGATGGTACTGGGTAAAGAGTTACTCAGTGGCTAAAAGAAAACGTTCAGGAACACTATCAAATTATATTATGAGAGAACTATTGTAATAGTTTTATAGCGCACACAGAAGCGGGGTTGAAACATGTCGGAGACAATACATTTAGCGGAGGGAGGGAGGCGGGGTGGGTGTGCTGGGGGCTCCAGCTGAGGGGCGCCTCTCCTGGGCTGGGGGCTGGCAGCTCCCACACCAGAATCCCAGCTGCAGGACACCAAGGGGCGAGGCTGCTGGGCAGAACCGAGGCCAACCGGAGGGCTGAGGCTCCCTGGCTCAAGCAGCCATTCTTCTCCCAACAACGGCTGCCCTTGTGAAAGCATCAGCTCCGGGGAGCAGACCTGACTTTCTTAAGAGAAGACGGGAAAGCCAGATTTCCCCCATTATCTAGGTTGTCAGCTGTGTGAACGGAAAAACACACAAACAATTGTATTTGGACTCAATTTAGTCACCGATTAGATCAAACCCAGCAGAGAAGCCACCGGCCCAGTGACGTCCCCAGCGCTCTGCTCTGGACCTGCAGCTGCCTGTGATCATTTGATCAAACACGAAAGGGCTTGACTGTCTTTATTTCAAATCCTGGCACCAGGAGATGCACCCTAGATCATGAATGGTCCTAGTGGTGCATGGGAAACCGGCCCCTCTCAGTCACAGACATCATAATTAACTCGTTTCTGTACCCAGGGTTTCAGCCCCATCTTTTTGTCCTGTGGATTTCTTACATATTTTCCAGCTCTAATTCTCTCCCACTGTCCTACATTAATCAAAGCTGTAACCCCTGTTGTCTTTGTACTACAGAATCAGAATGTGCCCCTGGCGAGGAACGGGGGAAAAGTCAACAGGAATTAAATTTCAGTGCAACTGTTTACTCAACTGTGGCCTGCAGTTATTGAAATCTTATCCGCGGTTTTGTGTGACTGCCGCGTAATGAATTCAGCATGGCTGTGCTTTCTCACTGCCGCAGTTCTCACTTCAAGTAAAAACCTGCAGAGTAAAGAGGATGCAAACAACCCAGCCCACCATGCCGACACCCAATTTCTCCAAAATGTTTAATTATTGCGTTTCAGTCGAGAAGGAAGCTGATAACTCTAGCCCACTGGACTTTATGAATGCTGCAGTTTTTCTTATTTCATCTACGGATTTTCTTTTCCCCCAACAACCCGTTAAGCCTCCTCCTGCACTCCGGGGAGTGAAGCAGCTGTCAGTGCTTTGTTTCAGAAGACCGGCCTGCCCGCCACAATACGCAAGGTGAGAGTCGCAATGAGACCCAACTGCTGCTTTCGCCCAAAAACATAGCTGTGGCAAACAGAAACAAAAGTTATAAAAATATTAAAAAAATAATTTTGAAGTAGAATCAAAAGGTATTGGCCTTTATTGGGTATCTTTTCCAAAGTGGTTACAAACAAAATAAAAAGGAGTGATGTGATAACTAACAACTCTGCTATTGACATGTTTTAAGGAAGATGTTGTTACAATGCACTTTTATAACTTTTTTCTGTGAAGTTAATTTGTCATTTCTGTTATGAGGGGAGTGTGTGTGTGTGTGTGTGTGTGTGTGTGTAAAGTTTTTGGCTGACTTACTACTTTGAGATAGTGAATGATTCTGAGTGCTTCAAATAAATTCCAGAAGTTAATTTCCCATTTATTTAATTAATATAGGTTAAACACTGATTACTTGGGCTTCATACCACACACTGGTCAACAGCCCCACCCCCACTCCTCCAGGAGAAGCACTGAGCCCGGCCTCTGCATGGGAGGGCTCAGAGAATGGCACCCAAACACCAGCCCTTCGTTCTCCATAGATCCATGACCACCTGGGAGCACCGCCTAAGCAAGGCAGCACGTGGGTCCTGCCCCCACTACCCAGAGCTCGGCGTCAGGCCACGTGGACCCACACGCGCAGCCTCCGCAGCGAATTCTGCATGTGGCCTGGTCTCTGAGCTTCCCTTTCCTTCTCGTTGAAGGTTCCGTGTGCCTGGTGGGTCCCACCGATTCCAAGAGACCAGCAACTGAATGATGCCTCATATTGTCAAAAATCCTTAGCAAGAAAATAAAATATGGCGGCATCCACACGCTTCTCTGGCAGGGTCCCAGGGAAATGTCTGGGAGGCTTGCTTCTCACCCGCCCCCACAATTTCTGTTTCTGTCAGCAAGGCCCAAAACGCATCACTCTCTTTATCACCTTTTCGCCAAGTGGCACCATAACTTTGTATTGCACCACCAAATCAAGGACTCATACGGAACAAGGGCCATCCATTATCCTTAGCAACAACGAGTAACAATCCTGACTCCGAGGAGGCTGGGACCAGGTGCGGTGGGGCAACGCAGCCTGTCTGCCTTCTCATCAGCACCGCACCCACAGCCCATCCCGGCCGCCTCTGGGAATATGTCACCTGTCACTCACAAGTGCCCACCACAGGTCACAAGAGTACAGCCTGTGTGACCTGCTGGGAGCCACCACGGGGGGCCGCACCGCACTGGCAGGCGGGGCCGCTCCCGCAGCACGTGTGCGCCAGCAGCCCGCGGCAGCCCGCCGCTCTCACACCGTGCCTGTGTGTCACTGTTTCGCCTGTTAACTTACCCGATTCTGCCTGTATTTCTACTTGTTTCTACTTTTATGCACTTAATTTTTCTCTCGTAAAAGCCCTTATTTTCCTCCTACTTCTCGTTCCTTATTTGGGTTTCTTTTTCATAAGGCTTCCTAAGTCGGCTAGCCATTTCTTTTCCTTTGAGGCACTGTGCAGCCGTTTCCAAAGGCGCGTTTTACTCGTTTGCTGCCACACCTGGGCCTCGGAGGGACAGCCAGGGTCCCCTCAGGCGCCCCTCCACCCCAGCCCCAAGGGGGCTGCCCAGACTCCCAGCTCCCACGGGCTTGGGTATTCATCTCTTAAGCCCGGCACCGGGGCCCTGGCACGTGGTGGCTTAAAAGATACTGCGCACAGCAAGGCAGTCAAGTGAAAACGAGGCCTCCACAGCGGCCACGTGGTGGGCACCCACCACCCTCCACGCCGACGCCCCACAGTACCTGCTGCTGCTGCGCGTGGGCCAGGTCGGCCGGCGCCACGTCCACGGCCGCCTCCCCGTTGGCCCGCGCCTCCCGAAGGCTCCCGCACTCTAGCAAGTGGCTGCCGCTGCTGGACCCGTTCTGGACGGCCGAACCATTGCTTTTTGTCTCCGGCCCGGATTCTTGCATCATGACTCAGAAACCTGACGGAGGGCTTCCAGGGGCGGAGGGAGAAAGGGGAAAGCAGCTGTTAAAACAGTTGTTGTGCACAAGCAGCAGGGTCCCGCTGCAAATGTTGCCAGAAATCTGTAAACAGTTGTCATGTTCGTTCACTGCGTTTACCCCTCAAGAGCGCTCAGTCTTCTGGTGTTTGAGGATGGAACTGTCAGTCCAAGTTCAAGTTCTAGTAGTATTGTTTCAAATATATTACCTTTTTCCCTTTAGGTGAACCTAGAATCCCCGGTTGAGTTTCTGTGCTCAAACCCGGGTATTCTGCGCAGAAAGCGCACGTCATCCTAACAGCAGAGGCGGCGTGCATGCGGCTGCGGTGTGTGCCCTGTGCCTGCGCCCCTCTCAGCGCCCTCCCCTGGGCTCCACAGCAGCCGCGGCCGCTCGGGAGGAGACGGACAGTCAAAGCCAAGATGCAGTTTAAGCTGCGTCCTCCTGGGAGCCACTCGGACACTAAAACTCTTCACCGCTGGCCACCTCTTTCCGAGAGAAAAGTGTCCCCACTCTTCAAACGCTGAACACATTCAGACTCTGATCTCTGTCTTCTAGTGAAACTGCCCCGAGAATTCCCAGGCCCAGCACGTGCTTCTCCTGCGGCTTCCTGCTCTGGCCTGGGTGAGGTCCGGAAGCCTTGGGTCTCATGTTTCTTTTGGAGAAAACCTAGCCTAGGCAGACGGAGGGCGGTTCTGAATGTGAAAGTACTTACCGTCTAATGAGAGAGAGAGGGAGGGGGGGGGGGGGAGCCAGGTAGTATTACCTGTACAAATACATCCCACATTCCACGTTACTCTCGAGGTACAAAACCACTGGCCCGGAGCCAGCACAGCTCTCGGTGAAGGTGTCCAGCTATGACAACAGACACATGTTTGCAAATGTCCCTGCCACCACCTACTGACCACCTGACCACCGCCCGCGCCAGCCCCCGCCGCCCGAGACTCCCGTCTGTCCTGACGGGGAGCCCGTGGGCGGGGAACGCGGCTCCGGAGCTTTCTCACGGGCACGGCTCACGGCGGGCGTGGGGTAGGGCCCGTCTCCTGTCAGGTCTCAGCCACGCGTGCTCTCAAAGCTGAGGTGCAGTGGGGATACACAATGAGATGGCAGGGCCACAGCCAAGTTCATGGAGTAGAACTTCAGGAAGGAAAAACAAGAGTCACAAAAGTAAGTTGACAATTCAAGCATGAAAGCTGAGGAATGCCTGGGTGACCAAAGGGGGTGTGAGATGCCAGCCGCAGGGAGGGCAGGTGACCTGGGCAGACACATGGGCAGCCACAGCGCAGGTTCCCTCCCAGAACTCGCACCAGCAGGAACGTAAAACATGCCGACACAATAGAGGAGGCTGCCTTTGCTCAAAGCCGCACCAAAACCAAGTGGGAGAACTAAAAGCAGAAAAGTTTGCGTCTTTCTTCATACCCTTCCCGTGAATGAGTGCACAATATGGCCCCCTGAGCAGAGACGGGGCCCAGAAGCACTGTGCAGAGTGAGTGCCCTGAAGGCACTGGGCAGGGCGTTTGTTAACAGGTGGGAGACAAACTCCGCAACAGCTGCCTCTCTCCCCTCAGCCGGCTTTCCAGGAATCATAATAGGCCTTTAAACGTGGCATCCAAAACCTCACTGCCACACAGTAAAGAAATCTATCAAAACACAACACAACTTTCTCGGAGACATAAGAACCAGGCCACGCAACTGCCTTGCTCGTTACCAAAAAAGGGGGTCAACTTGTGAAATGTAGGGAGCCCCTTCCCCGTGTTTCCATTCCGATCCTCTGACCTGCCCGTCTGCACAGGAGGGAAAGCAGAGCAGTTGGCACGGAGCTCGCCGAACAGGTGGGCATGCAATGAGCATGCCTGAAGAAAACACATGTATACACACAGGCTTACATTCTGGAAAGCCTGTTCCTGTTAGGGACGGGCCCCGCCCTCAGGTGAAACGCCGGGGTGCAGAGGGCCTCGCTGCCCTTGTTCGGACAGCGGGGTGGTGCAGGGGGAGCGCAGGGAGTGGTGCAGGGGGATGCGGGGGCCCCGCCCAGGCTGAGGAGAAGGCTCTGCTCGGCGCAGCAGCAGAGCAGGCTGCCAGGCCGCGGGTGCGAGCCGCAGGCCCGAGGCCAAGCAGCGGCCTGTGGTTGGGGCTGGTGAGAGCGCAGGCTTGGGACCAGCACTGCGTGAGGGTTGTTTTGGTCTGAGGATGTCCTTACTTCGCCAAGTGCTCGCAGGAGTGTGCAGGTTGGGGGTTTAGTTTCCCATCCTCTCCACGCCATCAGGAGGGCAGCCTGTTGGGAAGCACGTGAGCTCGCGGGAGGCGGCGGCGGTGCCAGCACACGGGGGGCGCTGCTTCCAGGGGGGCCGGGCGGAGGACAGGCCAGGCGCCTGCTCCGGCCAGCTCTCCGGGGAACTTTGCAGGCTCCCGGCAAGCCGATGAGAGCGCAAAGGCGGGTGATGTGACCCCGTCGTACAGGGGGGCACCTGGCCAAGGCACGGGGACGCAGCCCTCGTCTCCCCCACTTCAGAGTGAACTTGGCCGCTCAATAAAGGACAGACCTTCCAACGTGCAAGCGTGCTGGGCGAGCCCGCGGGGGGAGCCGGCGAAGAGCATGGCGTGCAGAGGGGCGAGGGCCGGCCTTCCTCCCCAGCAGCGCCCGTCCTCTTCTCCGGAGGCTCCCAGCTCCCCGGCGTCCGGCAGCAGGGTCCCTCGGCAGAGGCAGAGCCCAGCACGCCGCGTGCCCAGGCAGCTGGGGGCCTCTGGGGGCCCGCCATCCTCGGCCTGGCTGCGATTCTGGTGCAGCCCTTTCTCCAGCCCGGCCCTCCGGGAGGCGGCCCGTGGCGTCACCGGGCCACCGCGACAGCGGCCGGTGCGATCGCACCCGGAGGAGCGGCTGGAATCACGGAGGAGGGCTGAGGCTGGGGTCCCTGGCGTCAGGGAGCTTCTGCAGGGACAGGTCACCCAGCTTCTGAGTCCACAAGATGGGCCACGGCTCGGCACCGGCCTGCTCGTTACTGTCCTTGCCGACAGGGCCGCTCTGGAAGCATTCTGGAACAGTCATAATGTCCAGACCAATGTATTTACAGTGAATTAAAGCACTGCTCTACTATGATGACTACTTCCTTGTTACAGAGCTGAGGCTGAAAGTTTAGGGAGGACAGAGCCCTTGCTCTCCTCCTGCGAAGGTGCCGCTCACAGAAAGCTCAGTCTTGATTCCAGGGCAGTTAATTAAGGGTGACCGAGTCAGGCAGAAGCAAATTAACTTGGCTGATCAATTATTTATATGAAGCAGAATAAATGCCCTTAAAGAACTTGGCTTGTCCATGAAAGGATGTGCAAATTAAACTAAACACACTTTTATAAAATGTATTCCCACTTCCAGGGGGAGGGGGGGAATTTACTGCAGTCACTTTCTGAAAGGGTTCGAGTGGCTACTCGGTCCGATCCTGCCCCATTAGAGAAAAAAGGAAGAAAGGGAGGGAGGAAGGAAAGAAGGGAGGGAGGGAGGAGGGAGGGAGGGAGGGAGGGAGGGCGGGAGGGAGGGAGGGAGGGAGGAAAGAGGGAGGGAGGAAGGAAGGAGGGAGGGTGGGAGGGAAGAAAGAAGAAGGGAGGGAAGAAGAAAGGGAGGGAGGGAGGAAAGAGGGAGGGAGAAAGGAAGGAGGGAGGGGGAGAGGAGGGAGGAAAGGAGAAGGGAGGAAGAGAGGGAGGGAAGGAGGGGGAGGAAGAGAGGGAAGGGAGGAGAAGAGGGAGGAGGAAGGGAGGAGGGAGGGAGGGAGGAAGAAAGAAGGAGGGAGGGAAGGAAGGAAGGAGGGAGGGAGGAAGGAGGGAGGGAAGGAGGAAGGAGGGAGGGAAGAAGGGAGGGAGGGAGGGAGGAAAAGAGGAAGGAAGGAGGAGGGAGAAAGGGAGGAAAGAGGGAGGGAAGGGGGAGGGAGGAAGAGGGAAGGGAGGGGGGAATGAGGGAGGAGGAAGGAAGGGAGGGCGGCAGGGGGAAGAGAGCACTCCAAGAAGAGGGGGCTGTGGGCATCTCTGTGGCTTGGGAACTCGGAGCGCCTGCAGAGTGAAGGCGGCCCCAGCACCGCCTGGCCTGCAGAGTGAAGGCGGCCCCAGCACCGCCTGGCCTGCAGAGTGAAGGCGGCCCCAGCACCGCCTGGCCTGCAGAGTGAAGGCGGCGGTGAGGATGGAGCCGGCCGCGCTAGCTCAGGGCAGAGCTCTGACTACTGTGCCCATCCTGAAGAGCCACAGCCTGTGTCCCTGTTCAGGGCCGGGGTCTGTGTTGAGATAAGGCATCAGGAAGATGACCTGGTTCCCTGCACATGTGCAAGACTAGACCTGGCCACGCAGCTCTCAGAGGTTTGAAGGACCGAGAGCTGGGAGCCCCCGCCCTCTCAGGCCCTCGTAGGCAGCCTGGACATGCAGCCAGCCCACTGTGAGCCGCCCCGGGCAGTGCCCGCGGAGCGGACGGGGCCTGAGCATGCTGGGCACAGGGGGCGCCCAGCTCCACGGGGCCGCGGGTGGCAAAGGGCTTGGTGGGACCACATTGCCCCCGCCTCCCCAGTGCTGAGTCACCGTCCACAGATGGGCTGGGAGCACTTTCTTTCAGGAGGAAAAGGCGGGGGTGGGGGCAAAATAAGAGAAACAGAGTAACTGCAGCGGATCCTTCTCTCAGGTGAGATCTGCCCACAAACTGTGAATAAGACACCACCATCCGCTGTCCACCACCCCCCTCCTCCCCAGCGAAACGCCGTCCCAGAGCCAAGTTCAGGGAGGGAAGTCAGGGCGCCACTGTCAGGAGGACCGTCTTCCAAAACCACTGTGCACAGTGAAGCCAGGCCGGTGAGGGCTGCTGTTGCGGAGCTATGACCCACGGCCCAGGCGGCCACAATGAATGCAAAGCGCTGCGCACACACGCAAGTCCTGGTCTGATGAGGGACGGCTAAAATTAACACCCAATTAATTTCCGAATTGACAAACAAATGAAACCCATAAATCTACTTTCTCA